ACACACACTCTCTCTCTCTCACACACACACTCTCTCACACACACACGCACATCATCATCACTACCATCATCGTCGTCGTCGTCGTCGTCAGAGCTGAAACGTGGTTCACCATACAGAAGCCATCATCACTTCAAATCAGCGAATCATTATTGATAAAAACATCGTCCTCACTTTAACTCGCTTAGCTTATCATTATATCATAATCAGTGTTGATATCATTAATAAAAAGTACGAAAAATAAATAATTGTTATAATTTTATTTATATTAAATCTTAATTATACATTATAAATAATAATAATAATAATAACAATAATAATAAAATTATTATTACTTTTACTATATTTAGTGAATTAGTTAACTGACATGTCAAAGAGAAAAGGCGGGAATTGGAAAGTGTAAGATTGAGAGAAGGGAAGAATGTTTAAAAAGAATAACAGTATACATGTGCGTGTGTGCATGTGTGTTTGAGTTTTTTGTGTGTCTGTATGTGTGTATGTTTGTTTGTGTGTGTGTGATCGTATAAAAATCTGTCGAAACAGTATTCTTCACGATTATTCATAACAATATTGAAATATACTTAAATATTGATACATAGTTCATGTGTACGTATGTGTATTGTGTGTGTATTGTGTGTATGTGTATGTATGTGTGTGTGTATGTGTGTGTGTGTATGTGTGTGTGTATTTTTGTGTGCGGGTAATGCATAGACCGGTTTTAAACAAAACACACTTTTCAGCTTCATTACGAACGAACCCAAAAATTTAAGAAAAAGTTATCTGTCGGAAAGGAACAAATTATATGAAGATGCGGTATGTGTGTGAACCTTGTGTGTGTGTGCGTCCGTGTGTGTGTGTGTGTATGTGTGTGGTGTGTGTGTGTGTAAACATAATAAACACTAAATCCATATATAAATCCAATAAGTAGGGCTACAAGGATGAACAAATGAGTGTTTTTTGTTTCTAACGTTAATTCGTTTAAAAAAATTGTTAAACCTACAGAGAAAGAAAAATCTCGCGGTGCAAAAATAAGAAAATCAGTGGAAACATAATTCAAAGTAACTGCAAAGTGCATTTATTCCTTATAATTACCGCTCATAATTTTTATTGTTGAAAAAACATTTTTTTTTCATCATTTCTGCTTATTTTTTTTTCTTTTTTACAGAGTTTTTCAAATTTTTAGCCAACTTTTCCTGTTTCCTGATATTCAACATATGTTTTCTGATCAGTTTTATCAATGATATCATCATCATCGTCAACGGTTTCATCGCGATCAGTATCATTGTTGTAGTTACGTCCTCATCATCGTCGTCGTCATCATAATTTTTTTATCATTATCCATATCATCATTTTCATCATCATGAATGATTAAATAAAATAAGATATGCGAAATAATCCAAACACATCCAGAAGCACATTAACACTCGAACAGCTAAACGCACACACACATTCACGCACAGTTAAACGTAGAGACACTCATACACGCATAAGAAACAGCACATACAAACAAACTCATCACATGCGAACACACACATATCTGCACAAGTTTACACACACACACACACATTCATTTTTTCATTTTTCAAGTGTTCGACTATACAAATACAATACCCGAAATACAAAATACAAATCATTGCCATGGAACGATCATTGTTGCACTTGATCTATCAAACAAGGAATTTTATTTCCATCATTAGCGATGATGACGATGACGTTTATGGTGATGGTGATGATGGTGATGATAATAAAATGATGATGATGATGATAATGATAATGATGATAATGATTATCTGGAAAAGAAACGGATGATGAAGATGATGATGGTGAACTTGAACAAATTTCTAATGACCAAAATGATAATATACTTCATGATGATGAAAGCTTTTTTAATCATCGTCGATGATAATTATTATTCTGTTTACAAAAACACACACAGACACATACACAAACACACACAACACACACAGACACACACGCACATACATACACACATACATACACATACACACAAAAATATGCATGGATGCATTCTATTTCATGCATAACTCATCTAGAAGAGATAAATTCCATGTTAAAGTTAATACGAGAGAAAGCATTACACGCTGGGAGGTAAACAAAAAATTTTGAGATTCATTAGAGCAAACAAACAAATATACAAACAAGCAAACAAACGAACTGACGATCGAGCGAACGAACGAACGAACAAACAAATACACAAACAAACAAACAAACAGAGTTTATCAATGGACCTCTCTTGATTAAATTTAAAAAGGAAATAAACTATGTTCAATATTCAAAATTTATCAACACCGCAATATTTTAAAATTATTCTTTGTATATATACAATATATACAATACATACATATGTAAAATTAATCACAATATTTTATTTACAAATGCATGTTTGTATAATGTATAGGTATGAAATATACCTATGAAATACTAATATAAGTATATATATATTTATACCCATATATATGCAATATATATATATATATATATATAATCATATTATATATATATATATAATTATAAATGTATATCCACTGTATGTATATGTATAAGAAAGTATGAACATATATAGTGACGAATGGAAATGATGTATGTTCATTTTTATAGGTTTAGAAAGCATAAACAGTTGTCTGCAACGTTTATTAGTTTAATTTTTCTGTTTCTCTTTCTGTGTTTTTTAACTTTTTAATATTGCTCTGTTTGTTGAGTCAAGGAATAAACATCAAGGCATACAGTGTTAGTCTGTTGTATGTTTGTCTGTGATGTGTGTTCGTTAGTATGTGTGTGTGTTTGTTTGCTTGTTGTTGAGTTTGTATGCTTGTGATTTTACGCTGTTTTGTATCGTACTGTTGTTGCTGTTTTTTTTAATACCATTTACCCAAGTTGTTTTCAAATGAAGTTCTCGTTTTGAAATTGAAATAATTGAAAATTAAAGCGTCTCTCAACACTGAGAAAACAACACAAAATAATTTCTTCATAAAATTTGTTTGGCATTTGTATCTATATTTCTAAAAAAAATTCGTCCATCATGTCATGAACAAAACAGAATCTAAAAAAACGAACGGACGATTGACCACAAACGGACAGATAAACATTGTTTCAAAACTTCCCACAAATACAAATGGATAGAAAAGATGCTATTGAAGCAAAAAATTTTACAACAACATCAACAACAACAACGTCAACAACAACGACAACAGCTGCAGCAATAACAAGAATGACGTCACAACAAGATTCGCAAGCTAATACACCAATTACATCAACACATCATTTAAATTCAACGACATCAACATTTTTTCCATCTGCTGGCGCAACGACTATCGCAACAACGTCAACTGCAACAACTGGAGCGTCAGCATCGTTACCATCGCCATCATCGCCACCTTCGTCAAAAATTATTTTTAGCCTCCACCATCTTCATCCGTCAACAACATTGGCAACATCGTCGTCACTCACAACAAATCTTCCAGCATTCGCAACAACGCCTAGAAGAAACAACTTCGTGAACATTGCCCTCCAAGACGAGAATAGTTTCAACAATGTTGAGAAAAGCATCAAACTCACCGTCAACATTCCAGAAAACGCCAGACAACTTTCTATTGAAATGCCAATTACGACATTATTTGAAGAAGATGACGACGACAACGACGACGACGATGATGACGAAAATACCACCCCAATATTTATGAAAGATGAGGTTCCTACTCTTTCCGGTATTAACACTCACCCAAAATATAACCGTCAACAATACAAACAACAACAGCAACATATTTTACAACTTCAACAACAACAACATTTAAATCGAAATATATACAACCAGCCAAACCAACAGCAACAATTATTAGAACAGGCAAGCAAAGAAATCAAACAAAGCCTCAAACAAATTTTACTATCGAAATTACTCGAAAGACTCGCCACTCGAACTTTATACCGAAACTATCGGTACATGATGGCGATGGGCCAGCAAGATTCGAGTATTACAAACGCATTAGAACACCCTGCGGATAGCTACATTACCGAAACACGCGTCTCTAGTGACGTACTCCATGGTGACAGTTCAAATATCAACTGCAACGATTTTCGCATTCGAGAAAGCCTTTTTAATTCTTTCGGAACTTTTAAAACGACAACCATAACAACAGAGACAACAGCAGCAGCAGCGGCAGCAGCAGCGACAGCCGTAGTTACAGCAACAACAAATTTGTCTTTAACGACACTATCAACAACATCGCCATCATCTTCACCCCAAACAACAGTAAAAGCTTCTGAAACAACAACAACAACACATACAACTGCAGTGAACACCACAACATTTACAGCGAACACAATTTTTATTCCAGCTGCTACTATTAAAACTACCTCTCTCACCACTACAACCACCACTACTACAACAGCCACTACTACAACAGCCACTACCACAACGACTATTTGTGATTCTGCTACGACTACCACAGCTGTATCAATGGTATCAAATTGGACCCAATCTGAGCAAACGAATGCAAGCGGAGGTGATGATCGGGATACAAAGGTCGCAATGACCGAACCAGTCAAGTTAGCCACGAAACCTCTTACACAAATAAACAGATCAACAACAACCCACAAAGATGAGTATACGCAAACAACATCATCATCACCACCGCCGCCATCATCATCGTCGTCATCAACACAATCGTCATCATCCACACCACCTTTACAATCATCATTTAAAATATACTCTGTAACTCCAACAAACCCGATAGAAAATGACAACTGCATTTTATTAACAACTGCAACGTCAACAATTTCACTAATCCCAGCAAACAATCCTACAACTGCATTCAA